CTTCCTGGGCTACCTGGATATCCTGGACTTGACGGGTTTGTTGGACTACCTGGATATCCTGGACTTTTTGGACTTCCTGGACTTGTTGGGCTTCCTGGGCTACCTGGATATCCTGGACTTGATGGATTCGTTGGACTACCTGGATATCCTGGACTTGATGGATTTGTTGGACTACCTGGATATTCTGGTCTTCCAGCACTGCCTGAGTATCCTGGACTTCCCGGAGCACCTAGATGCCCTTGTCCATTTCCCGTGTTAGGTCCATAACCGTTATTATTCTGAGGCGATCCAGGCTGTCCAGCAGTTGGTCCATACGGAGATCCAACAGGCGCATCTCCACAGTTACCATAAGGACCACTAGTGCACCCAGGAGAACCTTGAGGGCTATATCCTCCCGTAGGACTAGTTGAATAGTCGGGGGATCCTTGCTGTTTCTGAACGGTGTCTGTGTTGGGACTGCCAAAGGGTAACGGAGCTTGTTTCACAGGACCTGCACCACCTGTGCCTTAATGCAAAAGGGTAATGCTACGTTTAATAATGTTTATATACTCTAATATACTATACTTTTAATATACTCCAGTCGTGTATTTTTCGTTTCAGAAAAGGCTTGGTAACGACACAACTTCCAGTGAGTTTTAATCACGTTCCCATTTCATAGTTAAATCAGAAAATATTAAATATAACACGTATGTAACAAAGATAAATAATCCTTTGTACTCGAGGCCTTTGAATGCTAAGATTATATCGACTTCGAAAATGAGATCTCTAATTTGAGATTTGAAAATCAGGTCACCTTTGTCTCAACGACAATCATTTTATTGGCACTTCGAGTTCCAAAGAAATTAAACCTAAAGAAAACCTAGTGGTGACTGAGAGTCGCCTCTCGAGTGCGAAGATAATAATAAAATGGTGTAAATACACAGAGAAAAAGGTGAATTGATAGTTCGAAGGTCCTCGATAGGACTTGTTTATCTCGCAGCCAAAAGCACGCCTACTCAACGATTAAATGACACTCGACCGTTCCTCTTCGTCCCATTGACGCCCAAAACGCATAAAACGCGATAGGATCTATCCTTCCGATATAAACCTCTGATGCATGTTCAAGAAAAAAAAAAAAAAAAAAAAACTTGCCGCGCCAACAATTCTTAATTGCTCTTTTAACGAGGACATTAAAATTCCAGCTGACCTTGACCACAGGAGGCGCCAGGTTGATAACTGCCAGAGCATCCAGAACCCGTTTCAGGCCCCTTGTTCCATCCTGGCTGATTGGTTCCCGGTTTGCCTGGTGCAGAGCCAGCATTCCAGCCTACTGAAGGTTGCGAGCCAGTTCCAGGCGCCGAACCTTGGTTCCAGGGCTTGGTACCGAAGCTACCAGGTTGTTGGCCAGGTTGTTGATTAGGTTGGTGGCCAAGCTGAGGACCAGGTCCGTAGTTTCCTGTACCTGGAGCTCCCGATGGTTTGTTCCATGGCGATACTGGCGAGGGGCTTCCGAATTGGGGGCTTCCTTTGACTGAGGCGCCAGGTTGAACTGCGCCTGTTCCTGGTGCTCCGTGAGGTCCTGGGGATCCTCCATAGCCTGGAGCTCCACCTGAGCCTGGTGCTCCATGAGGTCCTGGTGTACCATGGGGTCCTGGGGTTCCTCCATAGCCTGGAGATCCACCTGCTCCTGGAGATCCACCATATCCTGGAGATCCACCTGCTCCTGGAGATCCACCATATCCTGGACTTCCACCTGCCCCTGGAGCTCCACCATATCCTGGACTTCCACCTGCCCCTGGAGCTCCACCATATC